CCAAAAGTACAGCAAGTGGCCCAAGACGGTCTATGAATACAAAAGATGCCATGGATAGAATAAATTGCCATCCTGGGAGGACTCCAGGAAAAAGATTCACCAAGTAACCTTAATTGGTATTTCCCAGGTTGTTCAAAATTTTGATCCCGACTGAACAGGTAGATACTATAACTAGTGATATCTTAGAGCCACACATCTGGTCTGCACTTGGAAGGCAGCTCTAAGCAGCTTATAAAAATGCAAAGACCCTACTGTATCCCTCAATCTGGTATACCCACTGTCCTAGTAGAAACAGTGTGTACATGGGCAAATATCACTGTTAACCATTCTAAGAACAATAACTGAGAAAGGAAACACACTAGTATAAACAAGAGGTGGGGCCATCCAGGATAGGCAAATAGTGTTATGCAGCTTCGTTGAATAGGGAGAATATATTTATTCTGATTTAACAGATTTTTTTTTTTTAATGCACTCCCAACACAGCAACACAGCCACCAAGTACCTAATGAAACCAGCTTGGTGAAACACTCGGTAAAAGGGATCTAGGGAGTACACTACGCAGATAACGACTAGAAGAACAGTCTACAAACCTGTACACCAAGCTCCCCTCGTAAAGGCTAGCTATAAGTCAGAGCTATTTGAATCTGGAAAGTGTATACCTAGTTTAATCGGTGGAGTTTATTACAAAGCTATTAAAAAAGTTATTTCAATTAGTGTTTATCTGCCATGTGTGTTTAATTACCAGTTTCACTAAGATACCTACTGACTTTCTGCAAAAGAAAGTCAAATACTGCAGTAATGAATTCAGCTACGACAGCTATGCAATCAATTTATGAATAAAAAAAATATTGAAAAGTCCAACAAACCCAGAGGAAAAAACATTTTATATGCAACTTCCACATTGTTACACACTTGTTCTAAAATGTTATTTGCAGACTAGGCACTGAAGGGAATAAACAATCAATCTGTAATCACGCTGCCATGCGTCATAATAGTTGAGATAAAACATCAACCACACAGGAAGGGCATTGTTTTAATAAGTCAGCTGGCTCAAGACTTCCAAGCTGGTCATACACTGCTCAAACTTTGGCCAATTCTTGTTGAATCAATCAAAATTAAAGCCACGAATGGCTGAACCTGCAGCTCATATTGAAATGATCAACAATTTAACAATTATATGGACTATATCAATATTTAAGAAAACTGAAATTTGCTTTTACAGGCCACTAAAATCAACTCAACTTCCCAATTCTTCTTACCCCTGCTCAGATACAAATGACAACTAAAAGAACTCCAGGAATGCTTTTTATTTACCTTTGCAGTAGGGCTACCACCGCATGGCAAGGGTTAAGCGCTCATTTGTGTCTAAGTGCAAAAATAAAGTTATACTCTTCTGAAGCCCTGAGCCAGCCAGCTGTCACAGCACTCCCTCCAGCTTGTCTCCCCCTCCCTGTAGCATCGGAATCTTCCTTAGCATCTGATGATTTACGGGACCTTAGACTGCTGCAGAAGAAAGGGGAGAGACGTTGGAAAGACCAGTCTAAGAAGAAGCCGGCTTCCAGCCTCCAGTGAAAATAACTTTTTTTTTTTTTTACCTAGACACAAGCACTTAACCCTTGCAGTGTGCCGATAGCCCCACTGCAAGCGTTAATAAAACATTTCCTGGAGTTTTTTTTTTTATATTTTATAATATTCTCTAGAACCTGTTTTGCTTCAGGTCAAAGATTATCATTTTACTAAAACCACTATTCTATAACCCCAAATGTATTTTCAAATTTGCATTTAGGCTGATTCACTAAAGTCATACATTTCTTACATTACATCAAGGTAGGATAATTATAAATTTCCACTCAAACACTAGCAGTTTTTATATAGTAACTTTATCTTTCCAGCATCTTCTTTTGAGTGATTACTATTGAGATTTTATTTGGTTAGCAAGTTCCCCAAGTTCCTCATTTTGTTGCCGTGATTAAACATTTTAACAAAATGGTCAAAAAGTATGTGCAAGCTGTTTATCACTGCTGCCCTTTGAGCTCCACAATACTCAAAGGACATTAAGCTTTAGATGTGATAATTACGAAGTTCTTGAATTTGACTAAGAAGCCACAGAGGAACACCAGTAGCGACTTGCACATTAATCAGTTAATTTTTTTTGTTTTTTATGGGTTATTATAATTTAAAAATATTTATTCATTTGTGAGAACAGTTTAACACTGAAGCACATTCAGATGAAAGACTTCAATTACCGTAAGTTAGTTTTGTTAAATACGTCTTCAATTAACACTTCAACTCAACAGGGGTATCATTTGTTTTTAAAGGGCTTGAGTCTATTTTTAAGGCTGGAATGAACTAGACTAGGACATATTAACAGCAATTAGGCCTCAACCCTTAAAAGTAGAATACCAGATTGAAGCAGTTATACACAATATACAATCCATAACCGCATTGGCACAACAAGGTTTTCAGAGCTGCTAGTCATCCCAATACTTTGCCTTAAAGGGAAAATCCTACCAAAGCTGTTGTCAGAGGTGGATAAATTATTATTGAATACAGCTGCCAGTCTGTCCAATTCCGGCGCCAGCAGAATTTTTTTTTCTTTTTGTAGCCAGCTCCATTGACAAAAACTAGAGAAAATCTCAAAAGTTAAATGCCAGCTGTAATTTAAGGCTCCTGGGATTTGTCCAGTCCTGCCATAAGGAACAAATAGCAGTAGTCCATATGAATCGATCATAAGTCACCTGCTTTACGTTCTCTATGCTGAAGAATACCAAAATCTGATTCTTAGTTGATAGGGTGAACATCTCTTAAACAAGTTAGTAAATTCAACTGATTTAAAGCCCATTTCCACCTCGGCAGAGGTATTTTTTTTTTTAAAAAAAAGGTTCCCAGAACAACAACACAGGCAAATCCACGTTTCTTTGCTGATGCTTTGCTTCAAGTCTAAGTGGCATGGAGACCTACACACCCCAACAATCCATAATATCACCAGTTATCAGCAAGACTCAACCCAAGGCCCCATTTCCAAAACGTATTTAAAACATCTTAAAAATCTATAGCAAGTTTTAAAAATTCACTTTTTACTGGAGATTTTAAGCACATGTAGCAAAATACGTTTTAATTTGTGTTGATATTAGGAACATCTTCTTTGAAGAGTCTGTGTAACTGTACAGAACCTTTCAGTGTAATTCATGAGTGAACTCTGATATGACTTATTTTCTTTCTCTCCGAGCCAATTTGTTGTTGATTTACCCCCATTATGCTGCAACCTATAAACTGAAAATGTTTTGACTGCTGTGTGCCTTTATCAGGAAGTACAACTATTATTGCATTGTATCTAAAGAACTGTTTTAGCAGTGCTGTGCAACACCCAGGTGATCTTCACCAAAATTTGAGCTGACACTAACAGCTATTTCCCACTATTGAGTAAAAGATACCAATCTCCAAACTCTTAAGATGGCCTTACACCAGTAAGTTTTTTTTTCTAATAGTTAATAGGGTCAAATCACCAATCATTTTCAACTACAGAGCCAAAAAAAGGTGAACCAACAAGATAAAAATTGGGATGTTAAAAATCAAACAAATAGCAAACGACAATGGTCAAGTTTCTGATGGCATTATCGAATGTTCTGACAAGATTTTTCATGTAAAAAGGTTCATACATGTATGGCCAGCTTTAAACATCAATCTGGGGTTCTTTGTCACCCAACTAACAATGTATTTTGTGCCCTTACACCGCTTGTTATATTCTCTATTGATCAGGCATTATTGCACTAAAATGGAAATTTGATGTAGAGTGATATTTCCTAAACCCATACTGGAACTGACACCGAACTCCCTTACCAAAATGTCATGTTGACCACGGAATATTTAGTACCAAGGAAATTTCACAGATGGGACCTATTGCACAAGTGTCAACCTATCACGGTACCACGCTTGAATTCACTGAGATCCTGAGAGCGACCTATTCTTTCACAAATGTTTGCAGAAACAGTCTGCATGCCTAGGTGCTTGATTTTATACACCTGTGGCCATGGAGGTGATTGGAAGCCCTGAATCCCAAAACTTTTGGCAATAGTGTATATACTAAACACAGAGATATATTCATACATATACATGCACATATGGCCAAAATACCTATCGCCATGTTAAGTAGAAACATCCCTTTGCAAAACAAGACTCCTTCCATAGGCATGACTAGGCCTGAGCAAAATTATGCATAGGAGCAAGACACAAGGTGGTCACCCTGCATCTGCAAGGTCTCAACTTGGTAGAATTTCAGGTCTTTTTCCGGCATGCTGTCCAAGCTCTTCTACAGACACACAAACAAACCGGCAAGGCTAAGGAACGCGAACGTAGTGGTCAGCCACAGAAACTTGTAACAGATAAGAAATACATCAAGCTTGCTACCCTTCAAACCAGATATCCAGCAATTCTTTCCACCCAACTGGCAAAAATTGCTGGGATGCTGGTTAACCCATCTACAGTCTTTTCAAAAGTGGCTTTTTAGAGAGCTGCGACCAAAGACCCATTTAATTTCTCTGAGGCATAACAGCCCAAACAAGTCACTTACACACAAATATTGGGGTGCAGGGGGAAAAAAAAAAAAAACATCTGCTCTGGTTGTTGAAGAAACCATGAGCTTACAGCTTTTGCAAATGCAGCAGACATAAAAAGGATACTGAGGCGGTCTGCTGCAAGCGGTTCAGTTCCGACATAACCCTATTTCGTTAGAGAGCTAAGAGCATATGGCTTTTGGATGTCTACACAACAGAGGCAGGTAACTACCATGTGTAATACACATGGTAAATAAATAGTCTGGTGACCAGGTCTCTAACAAAAGCTATAGAAATTTGTAAAACGCCTTTAAAATGTATATAGGTAGCCAAAACTCAATTGTGTTTTGTATGCAACAAAACTGAAGAAGTTTATTTTTAAAAAAGGTAGCCAAGTAGAGGAATACAGTAAATATTAATTTTCATTATGTATATATTTATACTTACATCAGGGTATTCTTTCACAGGCACATAAAGTTTTTCTTGTAACTGTACAATAGGTCCAATACCATCTGGCAGTTCTGCACTTCTCTTGTCATTGTTGCTACCATTCATTGTGTCATTGTACATGTCCTTCCGCACTCTGCTGATCTCTAAAACAAAACAAAAAATACAAGGAAAACATGAAAAACTGCAAAATGTATTTAACCTTCACTTAGAAGCATAGCAAATAAATCGAAAGAAACCATGCAATATATGAAACACCATTCAAAAAAGGAATAGATTTTTTTTTTCCCCTCTGGATATATTTTAATTTACTTCCTGCCCTAAAGATGCAACAGGATATTAGAGGAGATCTTTCTAAAGTGAATGCATTTCCCACTTTAAAGAGCTGTTATAGGAACAGGTCTCGCCATTTGAGGATTGTTCCTCACTTTTTTCTCTGGTGACAAGTTAAAAATTTTGGATTTCCCATCACTTTCTGTCACAGCGACAACGTTCACCAGCAAATATGTAGCATGCTTTTAATTTGAAAGGTCACTAATAGAACTCTGCAGAAAATATATCAAGTGTGTCAAATATATCGAAAGGGCAACATAATGGACCTGAGAGACCAGTGAAAAATGCTGCCCCAAGCAAGTAAGCCAAACTCGCTCCCAGGATACAAGCATCCGTATTATGCTCTAGACTGTAGTTTGTTTTACATAATCAGCTGGTTGATTTTTTAAATGATAACCAAATCCCTAGCAATGCAAGAGATTACTCTGGATTAGAGGTTTGTACTCACTTGCTATTGTAACAGCCTTTACATTATTATGCTTCCTCTGTGGCCATAAGATTATATTCAGCCTACATAGGCGAAATTTAAAAAAAAAGATTACAGTGCCCTTGGCAAAATCCATAGATTTCACTTTGCTTGTAAAAGGTTCAGTGTAAAACATGCCATTACCATAAAAAAAGTTTTATATATATAAAAATCTTAATGTGTAAAATAAAACTAAAGGCTCCTGTATGACAGTCTAAACAAGTGCTAAACCAAGTTACTATGTGACACACAAGCATCGTAAAGTAAGCAATAAAAAACTTCCTTTACTTTCCATGACTAAACCAGATCTGCCTTCATTTGCGTCTCATGCTCCCCCACCCAGGCACTGCTGCTCACAGTGGGAGGGATTCAGCAACAGAGGAAGGAATGCCAATCCAGAAAGCAGTGGACAGTATTACGGAACGCTAGCAACGTTTTGCCACGCGTCCGATCGCACTGCGGACGTGGGGCGTGCAAGCGGTGCCATTGAATTTAATGCACCGCCACGTCCCCTCCTGCCCCAGAAGGCGGGGGAAGTTTCTTAGCGACCACGGTGCGTTCCAGCAGCTACCGCTCTGGAACGCACACACTTTTCGGTGTGAACAAGCCCTTAAAAGGGAGTACATGGTTCTATGATTTCTACACATGGATGAACTGCAGTTAACTGGGGAACAGTTTGCTACAAATGGCTAATGTTTAAAGCCATCTTCAATTTCATTTTTAGAGAAGCAATTAAAATCAAAACAGTTTCAGGGAGGGGTTATATTAATTTTGGTAACCAAGTCAGGAGAAACAAGAGTAAATTTATTAACCAAAAATTAAAAGACGCAAGGCAGGGTTTACTTTTAATTGAATTAAAATGTCACAAAGTGACATTTCATTTATTTATATGCACAGCACTGCAGCCAATTACACAAGACAGCCAGCAAACCAGCATTCGCAAAAAAATTAAAATAAATTCAGCCATGGTAGCTGTATGATTTTCATATGCCTGGGTCCCCTTTTAAAAATCCTGTGGTTGCAGATATGACCTGATTCTCTACAGAGTGCTCCAGTAGTCCTAAAAAAGTCAATGCTCTAACATGCAACAACACCTCTGTGGTAATTAACTCAGTATGTCCCCCTTCTGCTTTTCTTTTTTTGCCTTACTATTGTGGCCAGGACATGGTCTACATAGAGTTAGCATGTCCTCCCTGTGCTTGTGTGGGTTTGCTCTGGGTACCCAGGTTTCCAACAACATGCGTGCGAGTTAATTGGCCCCTATCTAAATTGTTGTGTGTGTGTGTCCGCGCCCAAAAGATAAGGACCCTAGACTGTAAGCTCCTTGAATGCAACCATTGATGAGAATATACAGTATGTACAAGTCAATTCTATATAAAGGCCATAAATAGATAATAGTGAAGGGCCCCATCATAATGATGGTCCAATAGTAAAGAGTTGGTGGAAGAGCAGCGCCAGCAGCTATAGAAGTTGGTTTCTATACTCAGTGTACTGTTCTTGTGATTCCTGACGCATTATACAGAAAATGAGGACATACAATACCCTGAATGTGCCTGCTCTACACAGTGAATGGCAGATTTATATGGTTAAAATAAGTCATAGCTTCATTATAAAAATGAAATGCTGATTGTTGGACATATGCAAAAAGAAAAAGCTATCCACACAAATTATCTGTGTATCTATATAACCACAATAAAAACCTTAGCGCATCAATACTGCCATTGAAAATGTTGGTGGAATGGGAAAGAGGACTGTTCTGATTTTCTTTTCGTCAAGTAGTTGGGCTGATGAAAGACATGCAGCTGGACTAGGGAGGTAAGAGTTCTATAGGCCTGCAAGCTTACCACACAAAAGAAAATGATTGAATTTTGAAACTGAGAGAGCTGACAAATCAGCAAAAGTACTGTCCATTAATCACCAGTGTGACAGTTTAATCATCCTAAGTACTATTATAAATAATGCTCACAGAAGAAAGCCAGATTTTATTTTAACTCTTTATTACATGTTCTAGAAAATATAATTCCTAACAGAAAACCAAACATGAATGCTGGAATGATTTGCCTGCATTAGTGTGGCTGTATACTAGGGCTGCAACAACTAATCGACATAATCGATTATAATCGATTATTGAAAAAGTTGTCAACTTTTTCAATAAAAAATAAACTGCTCAAAAAAATTAAAAGGAACACTTTTAAAACACATCAGATCTCAATGGGGAAAAATATAATGCTGGATATCTACTGTATATTGGACTGGGTAATGTGTTAGGAATGAAAAGATGCCACATTGTTGGATGAAAATGAAAAATTAATCAACCTGGAGGGCTGAATTCAAAGACACCCCAAAAATCAAAGTGAACAAATGATGCAGCAGGCTGGTCCACTGTGCTGAAATTTCATTGCAGCAACTCAAAATGGTACTCAATAGTTTGTATGGCCCCCACGTGCTTGTATGGATACCCGACAGCGTCGGGGCATGCTCCCAATGAGATGACGGATGGTGTCCCGAGGCATCTCCTCCCAGATCTGGACAGGTGCATCACTGAGCGGCTGGACAGACTGAGGTGCAACCTGGCGGCGTCGGATGGACCGAGACATATACTGTCCTAGAGGTGTTCTATTGGATTCAGGCGAGCGTGGGGGCCATTCATGGATAAGCCTCCCCAGACCATCACTGACCCACCACCAAACCGGTCATGCTGAACGATGTTACAGGCAGCATAACGTTCTCCACACCCTTTCACATCTGTCACATGTGCTCAGGGTGAACCTGCTCTCATCTGTGATAAGCACAGGGCACCATTGGCGGACCTGCCAATCCTGGTGTTCAATGGCAAATGCCAATCGACCTCTATGGCGCCGGGCAGTGAGCACAGGGCTCACTACAGGACGTCGGGCCCTCAGGCCACCCTCATGAAGTCTGTTTCTGATTGTTTGGTAAGAGACATTCACACCAGTGGCCTGCTGGAGGTCATTTTGTAGTGCTCTGGCAGTGCTCATCCTCTTCGTCCTTCCACAAAAGGAGCAAATACTGGCCCTGCTGATGGGTTAAGGACCTTCTACGGCCCTGTCCTGCTCTCCTAGACTAACTGCCTGTGTCCTAGAATCTCCTCCATGCTCTTGAGACTGTGCTGGGAGACACAGCAAACCTTCTGGCAATGGCACGTATTGATGTGCCATCCTGGAGGAGTTGGCATGTCTGTGCAACCTCTATAGGGTCCAGGTATCGCCTCATGCTACCAGTAATGACACTGACTCTAGCCAAATGCAAAACTAGTGAAAAACAGTCAGAAAAGATGAGTAGTGAAAAACAATGTCAGTGGCCTCCACCGGTAAAACCATTCTTGTTTTGGAGGTAATCTCATTGTTGCCCATCTAGTGCACCTGTATTTCATTAACACTAAAGCAGCTGAAACTGATTAACAACCCCCTCTGCTACTTAACTGACCTGATTAATATACCAGGAGTTTCATTGACTTGATGCTATACTCTGATTAAAAAGTGTTCCTTTAATTTTTTTTGAGCAGTGTATATAGTGCCCTCAACTACATGGACTTAACCAGGAAGCAGTGAGCCTCCAGTAGTCTCAGATAAAAAAGGCACAGATTTTTAAATGTACATTTTTTGCATATATGCATCTGTGATAAAGGTATGCAAGCTAAATAATGCCCATTTTTTTTTTCCACTTCTTTAAATCCGCCCAAATACCTGGTAACCTGCCAGTTCCCATTCTAATTTTCATTCTGACCACGCCAAGCATGGAAGCAGAGCAGCGTTGGCATGGTCAGTTTGTAGATCCTGGTTTCTCCTTTTGAGATACAGGACACAGTGCCAATGCACGGCACTGCATTCTTGATGGATAGCGGCTCCAAGCAAGAGCCTCACTGTCCAAACATCAGTCTGCCTAAGGCATAAAAAAAAGTATTGTATTACCGTAAGATTTCTTTACATGTTTTCAAAAATACCTTAAGGCCTGGGTTCCCAGCCTGTGGCCCAAGAGTCAAATGCAGCACTTTGGTGCTTTTGTCCAGCCCTTGGACCACAGCAGTCAATAGTGAGAGCACCGATTTGTAAAGAGACTGCAACGCCAGTCATCTCTAGCACACCACGCTGTGTCCTGCACCAAATCTCCAGTCGCCTACCACACCTGTAGCATATCCACAGTTTCAGACCATCTCTTGTAGTATGTCTACTGTCTCCTGTAGCATTACATATACTGAACATGATATGCAGCCCTTTGATGCCAGGGCCATAGTTGAGGCCTACTATACCTTGTTGATAACCACTGCCCTAGCACATAGCCCTCTCCTCTTCTGGGAGTATCTAATTATGCTCTGTGCTGGCCTAT